TAATTACTATTTTTTATATTTAATACTTATGATAATCATAAATGATAATAATTTACAGGGTCCAACATCTTTGTTCATCTTCAACGAAGATAATATTGTACGAAGAAATGCTAAAGCAATCATAGATTGGGGCCCATTTGAATATTTTATACTTCTTACCATAATAGGAAATTGTGTGGTACTTGCCTTAGAACAACATTTACCAAAAAATGATAAAAAACCACTCTCTGAAATGTTGGTTAGTAAAATTTACATGCAATTTGTTATGCATTAATTAGGGCTAATTAATTAAAATCTTTGTAAATTTTTGTATTTCATTAGGTTCAAAAGTTAAGCAATAAATTTTAAAACTTTAGGAGATTAAATTTTTTTCATGGCCATAGCTTGAACTGTAAAATCAAAAATCATCAAAATTTAAAAGTTAAATAAACTTTTGTGTAATTCTTAAAAGCAGCACTATTTAATTTATGAAAACACAAACTTTAATGTCATTCACAAATGTTTCGCTAAAATTGGGATTAAAACTTTTATTACTTAAAAATAGATTATTTATTTGCATATTTTAATAGCTTACTTATTTGCATATTTTTAGGTATCCATAAATGTTAAGTATTAAACACTCTTAATATTAAAAGGATATGAAATTTTTTGGTACTAAAAAATTTAAGGAAATATAAAAGTATAAATACAGCTAACTTTCTATTAATTTAATGCTAGTAGACAGAATTTTCGGGCAAATTTCATTTCAAACTTGTAATTCTGTCATTCTTAATGATACTATTTATTCAAATAATTTTGATTAATTTTATATTTTATGAAGTCAGGCAATAAATTTAAAAAGTATTGCAAGCAGTAAAATGCAAATCTATTATAATTAGTTCTTATCTAACTTTAATTTGAATGCATGAATAATTCAAAGATAAGGAACAATAACTTGATCTATAATTAGGAAAATTAAAAAACTAAAAATGTTTGAAGAAGATAAAGAACTAAATATAAATTAAAAACGTAAATAAAACGTTTATCCTTTTGCTAAAAAAAATTTGCATAAAAATAAATAAAAAATATGAAAATTCTGCTAAATAAAAAAATATTTAAATTGTAATTAAGATAAAAAATATATTTAGTTAACTCAAACTTGGATATAAATTTAATGTGTGAGTTACAGTTATTTTAATTATTAAATATAAATAAAAATACAATTTCTGAAATGAATAAATCTTAAATAAAATTCATAATTAGTCCAATTATCGAATGTAAATTTTTCATCTAATTAATTTGATTGCAAATTTCTTATTTCTATTTGCACAATAAACTTGCACAATAAACTTGCATAATAAATTTGCATAAAAGACTTTACAAAATCTTTCGTCTAAAATTCTTTATAGTTTATCTTTTTTCTTCAATATTCCGAAAAGTATAAAGAATTTTTCGTATGATATAAATTGCTCTCATTTAATCGTTTGAAAAAATATACATAATTTTTTACAATTGCTGGAGAAAATTGAATAATTTTGAGTTATGAACATTTATAATGTTAAATATAAAAATTATTGAGTTCAGAGATATTTTTTTTCAAATATGTTTGTAATTGACTACTTTCATTAATATCATTAATTTTAATGTTATTAAAAAAAACATTTAAAAAAATTTTTAGAAAAGTTTTAATTGATTAAAAAGACTTGTAATATTTTTATTATATCATATCCAAAATATTGATCATGCGCAAAAAATCACGTGCAAAATCATTAGTATGATCAATTTGGATCTCAATCGCCAAAGATAATTTTTTATCAATTCTCGAAGCTAGTTTTTAAACTTATTAAAATTTTAGCAGTGTTTAGGTCAAATTTATGTGCTTTGTATTTCCCACGTATGTTAACGTTATGAATATGTTAAATAATAAACAAATTTTGTACAAATATTGTTGAGCTTACTTTTCTATCAAAAAGTATATCATGAAAGTTAATAAAGTTTGTGAATGTGAAGGAAAATAATGAGCATAAATAGTTAG